CCACATCCTGCACCACAGCCCGGAACAACTTGTGAACTTCAGGGTCGTACGAATTTCGCAGATCATTTGCCTCTTCTTTCTACTTCTTCCACTATTACCACAGTTCATGGCATCGCCGTCTTCGAGGGCAGACCCCATCATTCCTTTCCTTCCGGTGATCCCCCTACTTCGACTTCGCCTTCGGTTACCAGAACCCACGATACCTCCGTTCGAGCTCCTCCTTCAGGACCCACTCCTCACAGTGATGTACCACAAACACTTGCATTGTGTTTGCTCGTTCTCGGTCGCGGTCTCGACCTCGGTCGACCCCGTCCTAGTTTATACATCTCACACCACTCTTTCTTCCTGCTCAGGAAAACTTGTCGCGCATTCACCACTTGATTCGGTACGTTGTGACGTTCATCTCATTTCGCAACCACAGGTTCTTTCTCACTTGTTTCAATTACTTTGCCCTGGGGCTACTTTTCTCTTGTTTTTCGAGATTGTACATTTTTTCACTCGTCCTGACCCGCTTCCCTTCCTGATGGCGAGCTCCGCGTCCTCGCGAGATTCACATCGCGGACATCGCCGACGACGTGATCTCGCACCGCCTCCAGATCACATGATGATGCTGACTACAGCGCCGGTGAAGAAGCAGACACCTCCGCATTGCCTTCAACCAACCCTCCCCCAGGGACTGAGATTGCCAGCGGCCCTCCAGTGCCGGATCCACCCCAACCGCCACCCACCGAACCGACTGCCACCACTGGCGACACCACCACTACTTCCGCACATCCCCTCACACCAGTCAACATCTCCGTTCCCCGACCAAATTTGACACTACGACCTCAGGGCACACGCCCTCCACCCTCGATCTCACGCCCATTTCTAGTCTCCAGACCTTGGACAGCCACCTCACATCCACACCTCACCAGTTCCTATTTCCCTCCTCCACGGTTGGCAGCGATCAACCCACTCTCCCGCCCCACCATGACTCGAGCAACCGGCCCACCGCGTGCCACCATTCGGCCACTCCAACCCACCATCACTCTTCCAGGGAACACCGAGCCACTCGCTCTGATCGCTCCCCTCGGACGCGACAGTATGACCGACGACGATCTCGCTCTGCCAGATCGCAGTATCGCCGATCCACACGGTCCCTTCCTCGTCGCTCCACACATGAGCCTCACTCTCGACGAGACACCCAGCACTCTCGCGATCGCCGATCACATCCCCGTTCTCACTCCAGCAGACGACCACATCAGGATCGACACACCTCCGGGAACCAAGATCGGCATCACTATGACCAACTCGACCGACCAACCTCGGGACCGCTCCATGCGTCAGGATGTTCGTCCTTCCGAGCCTCAAGATCGACGACACTCTGATCCTCATGATCGTCACACTTCAGGAGATCGGCATCTTCCCAACTCTCGAGCTTCCAGGGGTCTGTCTGACCATCCACACCGAAGATCCTCCACGCTCCAGCTCGACACCAACCTACAACGAGGGCCGTTTATACTTAGCGAACTTATATGTAGATATCATACTTACAAGAAGTTAGATGGAAGTTATGAAAACATATCTTACTTAGTAAAATCTGAGCAACCGTAAGGTTTTGTAAGTGTTTGTAACTTCAAATAACTTCAGGCAAGTTTTCTCTTTAATTGAGTCTTCAGCAGAGAACGAGAATGCTGTTGTCCTGCCGCTTGTGCCAGTGGTTAGGCTTTTGCCAAGCGCTTAAGCATGGGGCGGCTTTGTGGGCCGCCTTTCCCAACAGTCATGCACTTTTAACCATACATGGTAAACAAGTTGAAGGTGGTTTGTTTAAGCATGGGGAGGCTCTGTGGGCTGCCTTTCCCCCACACTCATGCACATTTTTTGACAAATTAAGAGACTCAGGAAAATGTAAAATATGTAAATGACTGAGATAGCGCGGGGGCTTGCATTAGTTGCAACACCGCAAAAATTTCCTGACCGTGAAACGAAACTTCGAAGATTAAGATAGCGCGGGGGCTTGCATTAGTTGCAACACCGCAAAACTTTCCTGACCGTGAAACGAAACTTCAAAGATTGAGAGAGTGCGCGCGTTTTTTGCATTTGTTGCAACACCGCATACACGATCTTTCATAGATATACATATGCTATATAACATACGTATATATGCGTCCAATATACGTCAATATACGTCCAATACGTCAATATACGTCCAACATACGCAATATACGTCAATATACGTCCAATATACGTCGGTATACGTCCAATATACGTCGGTATACGCCCAATATACGTCACATTTTGCTGCTATACTGTTTGTTTTATATACGCGTTTTCTTTGACAGGTGTTCTTCCGCGAGCGCCGTCGCAGCCAAGCCACCTTGGACAGTCACCGTGTTTTCTTAGTCATGCTCAACTACGGCTACGTGACTACCATGGGCGAATTTTTGCGAAGACCAACTGGCAGCCATGCTTGAGTGGCAAGGCGAATAACCAGAGAAACAGATTCAGCGTTATCGTCTTGGAGGCAACACGGGCCATGCGTACAAAATGATTTGCTGAACGACGAACACTGCAGAGAGTCATGAACAAAGACGACTGCAAAAAGAAGGAAAAACAACTCAACACGCAACCGAAAACTGAAAAAGCATGTTTCATTCTTTTTACAGAAACTGCGCACGCACTTGACAAATTGCACCAGCAACTTCTCCTTCTCATTTTGCAACCGTAAAAACTAAGTTCCGCTAAGTTCTGCTAAGTTCTCAGGTTCGCCGGTTTGAAAAACCAGACAAAACATTTAGGAACACTTATCCAAACATACTAAGCCTGCTAACCACCGTAGGTTGACTTACAAAAACTTAAGAACTTACGTCAACATGTCGAAGCTAATATCCATTTAAAGCTATAATAAAGCTAAGTTTAACCGCCCTACATTGGATAAGTACAAGCGGCCCTCGTTGTACCCATCGCACTCTACGAGACTGACGAGAACGAGATCGACGCCCATCTCGCCAGTATGATCGACGAGTTTCCCACAACTCATCTCGGTCCCCTCCACGGACTAGCTCTCGACGCAGCAGATCCCTTCACCCACTCCCATCCACCGACCAACACGGACCACCCAATTCCACACGACCCAACTCAGATCGAGCCTCTTCCACAGCTCCGAGACTCGTCCTACTTCCAGGCCCTACACGGCCAAGAATTGCCGATCAACCCCGCAGCTACTGGCGCAGAAGTCCCCGTTCCGGATTCGGGATTTATGTCACTGACATCCTCTTCTACATCGCCACAGAACACGTTGGCACCTCGTGTATGGGAAGTCCCGCGCACCTGCGCACTTGAGGACCTCGTTCTCTACTATGTCAACTCCTGAAGGATTCGTCCTCTTGGTGTCGCCAATGAGTATCCACGAGATTCTACTCCCTTCCCGTACCGACCTCTACATACCGTCGCCTCTCGCCTACATGATGACGCCATTTGTCAACTTCGACTACCTCTGACGGCCTATCAGACCTATCGCGAACTTCGCCAATTTAGCTAGTCTCACCCAACCTTCTGGCTCGGCGCTTAAAATTTGCCTCCCTTTGGGGAGGCGTGTGTGTGTGTGTGTCCCTTGTAATCACAGGGATTCCGTTGAATTGTTTCTGTTTCAGCAGGGGGACTGCCTGGCTTGTAACAGTGGCAGTCCAACGAAGAGGCTGTTACAAGTCACTGATATGGATTCTGGACGCAGAATCCACGTACCTGCTTGGCTGTGGTGTTGACAAGCTTTCACTCCAATCTTCTCGTATAGGGCTAGTGAGCTCTGCAGATGTGCACGGACCGCCGTCATCTTGTCGTCCCGATCTCGACCTGAGTTTTTGGCCTCACTTCCTTTTGAAGACCCCCAGGCTCTTTAGGGCTTTCCTGGACCTTTCAGGATTTGGGTTTCTTAGGCTGGCGTGTGGCACCGCTGTCAAGTCAGTACGCATATCCATAAGTGTGTGCGTGTCACACCCTGTTTCCAAGGGTCACCACCAGGTGACGTACCCCGCCGAGAAGTGATCGTTTAAGCAATATTGTTCCTGACTTTTTGCAGTTCTGTTTGCACAGGGCCATTGCCAGGTCAGCTGAGGTCATTCCTGCACTAACTAGACTGCAAAGGTCCGATGCATCGGTGAACCGTTTTCTGAACGAATGTTCGTGAGTGTGTTTTCGCGGCATCGTCCACTGTGGTGTGCCATGTGATCCTTTCGGGGCGCGTGCTTCACTCCTTTGTTTGAAGGCCAACAATTCTGATTCAACTAGTTAGCGCCACTTTCTGATCGAAGTGTTTATGCATGAAAGAACTGAACGAATACTGTACGATTCGGGTCTACAGAATACTTCTACTGATTTCCACTAACTGTGTACACTTCATCAGCATTTTCATTAATTTTCATTATACACTGACGTCATTTGATGTGTTTTCCTTCCTTTTTCTTGTCATCTCTGTTCTATTCATTCGTTGCTAAAAGTGTAATCCAGGCCTTTTCAGTCAAGTGTGCGCCGGATATACACGGTTTTCCGGCCAAGTGCCATACGTGTCAGGGTTCCCACACAACCTCCTGGTTCTTGTTCGTTTGTTAGTACATGCGGATGTCACAACTAGCAGGGACGACAAACATCCCATAGTTTCTCCATATCTCATCCTCAGAAAAAGACTCTCTTGCAACATATTTCTTGAAACATGTCATGTTTTATGTTTTTTTCTAGTTAGTTGTTTCCCACCCCTGCCTAGCAAAGGGAATCCTTGTATAATCAATTCTCTCAGCATTGCCGATTTTCTAAGGGTCCTTCAGCCTCCGTGTGACATGCTGAAGCACACACTGTTTGGTCGCGCAAGGGGACTGTCACCACCACAAACAGGTCACACTTTGCCATCGATTTTCAAGCTACTGTGTGTTTATGTGGTATTATGATGTATTGTGTGAAATTGAATGTGTTTTGGTTGCTTGTTTGGTTTGGTCGCCCGTTGTTCGCCACGGTCATTGAGCCGTCAGGAGAAAGTGTCGCTTGATTTGCCCAGATGGCCCCCTCTTCCAGGCCCAACCGAGAGTTTTCGGTCCTGGGTTTGAAAGCTGGCTACAAGTTGGTGTGTCCTTGTTGGATTTGATGAGGATTTGATGTGTTCTGGTTCGTCTCGGTGTCGTTGGGTTTTGCTATCAAATGTTGAGCAGATCTTGGAGACCTCAAATGACCTCAAGACCTTGTTAGTTCTCATTCTGCGGCTCATCTCAGCTGCAGTCAGGAACCCGAGATGGACTCGCCAGAGCAAATTCTACAGAACTTTGGGCCGCCGTGCCTTGGATTAGAGAAAATCGGCTGAGTTTGCAAGCTGTCCATCTTCTGCAGGATTTATATATGGATCAAATCTCCTTACAACATCTTACAACACATAATGGAGATCCACAACACTTTTTTATGTACTTTTGTGCAGGGAGGCTTCTCCTCGTTCAGTTCTTAATCGCGTTGCAACAACAAGTCCAACCAGCTGTTTTTTTCTGCTCTGAGGCACTGTTCCATAGTAAAGTCGTATGAGTATGAAGTGTAATCAGCAAGTCGAAACAATCCGTTTGTCAGGCGCTCTTATCGCTTGCAGATCCTAGGAGCCCGAGCTCCTACTTTGTGTGGGTTCCTGGTTCCTGATCCATTGTGGCATTCAAGACAAGAACTCTTAACATGGTCTAGTATTGTCTCGTCGCTTCGAAGGTCTAGATATCTATCCAAAATGGTTTTTGGAGACCAGTTGATCCTGCCACTCCTTTGAGCCAGAAGGCCTGGAGGGCAAGATCGATTTGAACTGCACCATGGTGTTGCTATTCACAGGTGTTGTTTTGTGCTTGTCTGTTTGATTCTGAACATTCGTGCCAGCTACTGGGGCTTAGCAAATGTGTTTTTTTGCGTATATGGCGTGCAGTCTTTAAAGAGTCATTCTCACATTGCAGTGATGGATAAAAAGACAATAAATGACAAGGAAGTCAAGTTCAGTCTGCAGTGCGAGAAAACCGTTGCGATATCGGTTTGACAGTACTGCGTAACCCGAACTCAGGTACATGGCACAAGACACCACTAGTCTTGGACGCCCGGTGCTTGGTGTGCTTGCCACTTGCGAAAGAGGCGAAGGCCCGAAAACAAATGATCAAGCGATGGGATGATGGAGGATGCTGCAATTAGATGGAGCAATGTGTAGAATGGTTCACGTTGATTTGAACTTGTGTTTTGCACAACCCTAAAAAGAAACGATTAGGACAAGCGACTTGACAGAAGTTTTGCTTTTTCTGGTGTTTTGTGCTAAGCACGACAAGGGGGATCAAAGGGGTTACAACTTGCGCGAGGACTTGTATGCCGGATTGGTTTTCTGGAGATGTTCCCTCAAAGTCGGTGGGCCAGAATCCTGCGCAGGAAGTTTGTAGTTCTGGAGGGCCCGGAACAGAACAGCTTTCCCATATTTGCGGCTTTCTGCAACTAGATGTCTACAGTCGACACCGTCATACCAGTCTTTATTGCATCTGGCTGAAACACCGATGGCTGAGCAGTCTGCCTACCACTGGGGACATTTGGGTAAGGCTGCTCAAAAAGGTAGAAACTAGCAATCTCCGATCTCCGACAATCAAATATTCTTTGTTTCTTGGGGATGACTGAATGATAAGTGGATAATGGGTGGATAATGGAAAAAATCATCACTGAGGAAAAAGAACAGCTGGGCATAATGTTGAGTTGGCCTCGACGAGTGCCCACTTGAAAGAAGCAGCAGTCATGGTGGCTGTGCAGTGCAAACCAACCGCTACAAGAATCAGGTTGGTGAAAGACAGGGATGAGTGAACGAGATGAAGGGGTCTTCGAATTGAAATCATTGAGCTGAAGTTTCAGCCGGTTCAACAGTCAAACTTCAAAACACAAGTGAAGATTACATCGTGTTCAAAAGGCCTGATTCCAGATTGAAAATTCTGGTGCTTGTCTGAGAAGTTTAATAACAAAAGTTCCAGACTGTTCCAAGGGGGCATTGTCCAGCTTAGAGGCACAAGGTATCACTTCAAGGGAAGAGTCCTTCAAATGCACAACAAGGCAAGGGTGCTATGTTCAAGATTCAAGACTAGAATCCAAGCTGAACCATATAGAGATTCTTCGTTGTTTTGTGTAATCAGTGTGACCATGTAATGAGAATACCAAGGCGATGCTCTCTAAACTACACACCGTAGCCCTGCGAAGAAGAGTTTGGTCTCAAGGAAGGAACTAGCCTGGGAATCTCAACCGCACATTTGGTGGACTTGGTACCTGATAGGATTTCATCACACCACGGTTTCGCCCGGAAAAGGTACCTGTTGCAAATCTATATGGCCGTGAGCTGTCTCCAATTGTTGCATCATTGCTAGCACATCCCTAGTCCTTCAGGGGTCCAGAACCTGGACAAGAGGGCTTTGGATATGGAAGCGGTTGGACCCATCAAGGCTGTCAGACAAAATGTTAAACATGCAGAAGTGGCTCCCAATGCCAGTCGACGAGCCGCCACCTTTGGCAGCAGGGCTTAAGGTCACTTTACAAGGCCTGGATGCACAGATTTTGCGTGAGTTGTGAAGCTGCAGCCTGACCAACAAAGACCTCTAGAAGCGGCTGCGGGCTCAAACTGGTAAAGCCAGGCCCGATGAATTGTTTAGCGGGTTTTGCACGAAGACTAATTGTGCACTTAGGTCCTTTTGCGTTTCTTGGGTATTGTGGGGTTTTGAATGGTTGTGCTTATCGGCCTATATGACGTCTTCGGTTGCGACAAGTCTTCAGGTTCTGTTGATATCTTTCAATCCTGTACCGAGTCTCGGTGACAGGTCTTTCTGGGTGCCTGGGCACCATGGCAGCAGGCCACAACTGGACAGCACCATGGCTGACCAACGCAGTCATCAGGAAATGTGAGCACCTCGCCAGGCGTCCACCGCAGCACAATTTTTACAAGAGGAGTGCTGGACATGTCTTCAGCTTCTCGAGAAGCTGCTTACCGTTGTTACACAAGTTCAAAATCAATAATCAACTGCCAACCTCTTTGGCATCTTTCGGTTTTTGGTAGAAGTTTGAGAGGAGGCAATTGATGCAGTTAGTTGTTCTCAAGGCAGGAGAAGATGGTTTCGCACTGTTTTGCTGCATCTCAGAAAAGGTTCCGTAAGATGTAGCGGTTTTTCTAGACAGTTCAGGCCGTTCATGCCACTGAGGGTCGGCATCCAGTTCAAACTCAGGTGGGCCAGCTGAAAGATGCCTATAGCTCTCGACGAGAGCTGAGGCCGATTGCACAAGGGCATCCTTTTGCTCCGCGTTAACCTTTGGTTTGCGATTGCTCCAATTTAGTTCTAGTGCACCATGTTCGTCCTTTATTGCAGCACATAAGCTCATGGATCATGGAGCGAATAGAACAAATCTGGCGAAATCTGCTCGGTCATTCCACTATAGTCATTTTATGTCGCCGGCCACCGGCCACCGGCCACCAGCCACCAGCCTGAGCACAGTTTTGCAATTGTGATGGTGACGCATCCCATATAGAGCCGATTGAAGACGACGAAATGCACCAGATCGGAGTGTGAGATTCAAAACTTGCCCACCTAAAACGGGAGGCAGTGAGCGGCGAAGGGGAACGTTGAACGTAGCAAGGGCGCAAATTTGCCCTTCATGCGATCGGCAACGTAGGGTGCAGAGTCGTAGGGCTGTTCCGTTTGCACTTGCTTAGTTTGATGTACGACAATCTTCACTGTTGATGCTCTCAGAACATAAGTTTTGGACATCACTTTTGCCAGGCTTCTTCCTATGTCAGCGCCAGTGGATTTGCCAGATGAGCAACTGCTGTCAGAGCTTCTGAACGAGGCTTTCTGCGACAAAATCACGGTTGCTGAGAGTTGTGCTAGAGTTTGATGGGAATGGGAATTGAATGTGATTCTTACATACTCTTACATCACAGCGTTGGGCTGCTAGTCGCTACTACCAGCTTCATTACTTATAGCTACGATATGGCCTTACAAATCATTACAAACAGCACCAGGGCCTCAAACCGACCCCTGCAGCCTTGCGCCACTCACCTGTCGCTGCGGTTGCTGCGGGTCTCTCCAGAGTGGGCAGACGCGGTTCGACAGCTGCGCGCAGATCCCCGTCTTTGGAGGGATTTGGAGGAGGAGCTCGCTGACAGACACGGATGTAGAAAAAGCGTTAACTACAGGACCTGCTGAATTGTTTGGTCCACCTTTGGCATCCTTAACGCTTTCCTTCAATATAGTGGACCCCTTGACTCTTTTGGCCCATATGATTACATGTCATTTTTTGGAAAGGGTTGCATTCTATGTTTCCAGGGTCTCTGTGAACGATATGACTGAGAAGGGATTGAAATCATTTGAAATCAGCAGGTAACCGAGAACATGAGAGAGTGTTGGAGTTTTGTTCGCGGCTTTCAGGATGCAATAGGTGGAAGAGTGCACGTAGCATGGACTTGTTCATCTAATGAAGCCAACAAAGAGAACAAATACATATCACGCCCCCTGAATTAAAAAGAGAACGCAGGTCGAGCTATTTTGGAAAACCTGCCCGCGCTGAAGGTGCTGAGGCGTTGAACTGTAAGTAGCGCGCGCATCGCTATTAAGCTTTAGCTAAGGGAGGGTGCGTTTTCGTTTCGGAACAAAAAGCACATTCTGCGTCATGAGGTGTGTCTAGGACAGGAGAGGGAGTGGGAGAAAAAACGAAAAACACATGGTGTCCTTTATCATCTATGCCTGACATTGCCTGACTATATTTCTCACTTTCGTATCAGTTGCATCACCACGTCCATGAAAGGCGAAAAACTACGCCTCTCAACAGTCTAGGTCTTAATATATGTTCACGATCGCATTATACGCATCAGCTGGTTGCAAGTGTATCGCTACTTGTACAAAAAGCATGCAGATTAATGAACCATTTCAAGGGGGTCGAATAATATACTGTATACAACGATGCTGCTCGCAAACAATTTGTAAGAGGTTCTAAAAATACTGCGACTATAGAGAGAGATGGCTAAAGAGTTTGTAAGAGGGTCCAAAAACAGAGTGTATATATGTGTACATTATTCATCCACTTCATGCTGCGTTCATCTCTAAGTTTTGCGTCGATCATGCACATTGCATAGTATGTGGTATATATTCCCTCGATTCTTCGACCGATTGAAATTGTACATTTTTCACGGTGTCCAAGTTATATTCATTTGCTAGCATTGTTGCATATAATTTGGACGCCCTGAAAACTGTACAAATTCATGAAGGTCGAAAATATATTCAATGATACTTGCAAGTTGCAAGTAAAACATAGGGTGTTACCCTCTCTCCGAGAGCCGCTGGTGCGGGCGGTTGTCGTTGCAAAACGACCTGAATAGGACGGTCTCCAAATAGCGCAAAAGAGATGGGAATCTGCAAAGTGCCTCATAATCGCCCAGGACAATAAAGAAGATCCTTGTTAAATTCGAAGTATTGAAACACCCTCCAACTGGAAGGGCGTTCTCTTTTTTACCAAACCTTTCACAATATAAATTCTTCGATGCTCGTCGCTCGCACAGATTCCACCAGCCTAGCCAATAACTAAGAAAAAAGTTATGTTTTTGTGCCATGCGCTTTGGCGGGGTCTCGGTGGAAAAGTGTTGTGTGACTCCGTGCCATCAGAGAACGGGACACATGCGTGTGCAAATGCGTTGTGATTCTGGTGGGTGGTGGGTACCATACCAAAAAGCAACAGGTGTCTTGGAAATTGCAATGAGGGCACCTTTGTAACCGAGTAATCAAAAATAAATGCGGCAATGTCGTGAAGTCAAAGGCAAACTGCATATAGGGGTGTTCGAAGTGAATTTGTTGGGTGTAGTTTTTTCGAATGGGCGCTCGGGTTTAAAAAAAATACTTGCTTGCCACAAATTTAAGGAATACTGAAACCTTCTTGTCAGTTGTGTCCTTTCCTCAGCGATCATCCATATGCTCTCTTTGCTTCGATTGCAATATAATTTGTTGTCTTTCAGATTCTGTTTGCTCTTTCGCCGCTTATTGTTCCTTCATTTTTTGATTTGGTCATCGCATCTCTCATTTGAGGGTTTCACGTCAACCCGATATCCTGGAAGTCGGCCTGTTCCCTTTGTTGACCCCGACCTTGATTGACTTTATACAAGGTCCTCCAGCCTTTCGTGGTAAACAGGATGCCGCCAATTTAGGCAAAGCTCGTAGAAGGAAGGAATGACACCAGCCGTGTGAAGGACTTGAAAGCAGATCGCGATTTGACATTGATGGCAGTGGCGCAGGAATCTGCAATGGTGGGGACGAGTCAATTCTTCAATCGCTGTCATGTTGTGAATTGAGAGTGACACCCATGGAACATTTCTCTAGACAATAGAATTAATCTTGCCGGAGCTATAGTCACACTGTTTGGTGAGATTCGTGGATTCTATTTGACATGCCTTACACCAATTCTGTCGATCTTGACTAAAACAATTGGAATGAATGACGTGAATGTCCGTTTGTCAACGTTTGTGTTGGTTTACTTCCACAGGAGCCTTCCCTGTTGAGGGAGACTGCCTTCCTGTCCGATGCGCAGATTGTCCTGGCAGCTGCCGGGAAGGACAGATATTTTATGTTCATGTTGCTCATGACCCAAGATAGATTATCTTTGGTTTCCACTGCTGCATTACCTTGCGTGCGACAGCAAAGGTGTCCAGACTCGTCAGCCCCTAGCTGTTGGCGAATCAAGTGAGATTGAGCCATTAGGCTCTTGATCACCTCAACATACAGGAGGGCGTGGGTAGTGAGGAGTGCGAACCCTACCTTGCAGTTACAAGGCAAAGGGACACTATGCCGCTACGCCCATGCGTTGCCCTGTGCCAGGAACCCCTTGCCCTGCAAGCTGCATCATCTCAGCTTTGGCATGACGACGACTTCGTTTGCGCCGCTGTTGACGCTCGAGCTGAATCAATTCATGCGAAGGTTAGCCCGCTTTAGCACATCTAGAAGGAATCCAATCTTAAAGAAATCCTAAAGAAGTGAAACCAGAAGCCAGCCTCAAAAAGACTAGTACAAATTTTTACGCATGTTTACAATTGCATCAAGTTTAGTGTAACGTAGGCTCCGTAGTGTAACGCACGATAATATGTTGAGACTGACGCAGCTGTGCTTTTTAGTCAAGGAGCAACTTCACCCCCCCTCAGAGGGGGAGTAACTGAGTAACTTGAAGAGGGAAGAGGAAAGAAAAAAATGTGGATGGGGTACAATGCCCATCGTGAAAAGTGGTATGGGGCCAAATACCCCAAAGGAACCCTCATTGAGGCGGCAGTGACCGATGATGGAGCCCCTCAAGGTACCGTGATCCTGAAGATGACTGGGAAAGTGGAAACGGGACCACTTGGAGTCTTGGTGAGGGCCATCCATGTCACGGCCTCCGATTCCCAAAACCGGTGGTGGGTGAAGGATGGCGAAGGGCAATTCCTTCAGAAGGAGGCCTTTTACCACCTCTGTGATGGTCCGCTATCCGGTTGTGAGTACAAACGGCCACGGTCCAGGGTCGTGCATTTGGGCAAGATCAGGTTGCTGGGCCTTTACCAGGCCATGCAAGAGTGAACTCGAACCAAATTTGGGGCGCTTACCTGGCCCGGGGCCAGAGAAATGGGGGGACATGGGCTGGGCTGAGCCTGACGTGATGATGAGACTGGCACTACGTCCGAGGCCGGGGACGACTTGGCTTCCAAGGTCATGGAGCTCAAGAAGACTTTGAAAGCGGCTGAGGAGGCGTTGGCAAAGCGGAAGGTCAGGAAGAAGAAGGGAAAAACCCAGAAGCGAAAGACTGGGAAGAGACCCAAGGGCATGAAGGTCAAACATGGGCTTAGTGAGGACGATGACCTGGTGGCTAGAAGGGAGGCGATCAAGAAGCCTTCGACAAAAACGCCAGCAGTGGCAACTCAATACCTCCATGCAATCCTCCTCCCACACTTGGGTCAGAGAGCATCGATTCGCTCAGTGGGGGAACTGCGAACGCTGTTTTTCGTGATGGGTTACCTGGCTCAGGGATTGCCGGCCCAAGCGGTGATCAGAGGCCAAAGGCCGGCGAGAGGTCCAGCATAGACGGCCATTGGGCAAGCCCTCAACACCTGGAGCTGATCAGCCCAGAACAGGGAGGTCTCCTCGAGAGGGGCGAGCAAGTCTTCGTGAAGAACGAGTACCTCCTCGATCAGAAGCTAAAGAGTTACGAGCGGCCTCCATGGCGTCAAGGAAAGGCAAACCTCGAGGAAAAGGCGACAAGGGAGACAAGGGAGACAAGGGAGAAGGAAAAGGCAAGCGAAAGAAGGGCGACCAGTAGGTGAAGAAGGTTCACCCGCAGGAGCAGAGGGAAAGGAAGAACCATCTTTGTCCATGAGACTCCATGCTTCTGAAAAGCATCGCCCGTGTCACGCCAAAGAAATTAGGGCGCCTCCTTTCCCAACACATAAATACTATGCACGGAGAAGGGGAGCGCCTGTCCTATGCCGGGCATTTGCTTAGTGGCATCAAGAGGTTTTTGCCTGACCTGCGGCTGAAATTACCGATTTCAAAGAAATTGGCAGCGATCGTATGTCCCAGTACGTGCAGTCTGGTTTCCTTCTCCTCCTCATTTTTCCTCATTTCGTGTCTCCCCCCTCTCCCTTCCCTCCTTCTTCTGCTTGCAACACATTCCCCAAGAAAAGAATTGTGGAAAAAGTCGAATTTGTTCATCCCTCAGCAACGATTGGGATTGTGAATCAAACCATTTTGTTTGACATAGAACAAAGAAGCCTTTGCAAGATAATGGTAGTTGAGATGGCTCACACAGTTGGAGTGGGTTGGTTGCTCCAAGATGGTTGTTGTTGCCAGTTGTTGCACTCTTAATCAATCTAGCTGCTGGGGCATTCTGCAACTGAGCCCAAATGGTGCCAAGGTGTTTTGACGTGTGACACACGCGCTTAGAGGCTGCACATTTCATTACTGTAGATGTTTCAGCCGCAGGTTCCAATGGTTTGCATCACCGGTTGTTTAACCAATGTGTTGGTAGTTTACCCTGTTTCTTGTGTTGCGCCATGATGGAACTGTCTTGGTCCACGAAACAACACCAAGTTTTCAGTTTCCACCTCCTGGTTCATTTTGTCAGGACCTCTAGACTCTAGCCTGAAACGTTAGTCGCTTGGATTATGTTCAACTTGAAGGCCATGTTTTCCCATGTTTGCCCTACCCGTACCTGCTGCTATCGGCCTCCACTTCAGCATTCCGAGTTGCAAATTTGTTTCTACTTCCGTTGAAGGGGCGTGGTACTGGGCGTTTCCCAGGCCTTAGATGCCAGCGCATTGCAACGTGCAATGGCGCACCGGGAACTGGGAATCACATTAGCCCTGAGGGCTGTGGAACAGGCGAGGACTGAAAATACGACAAGTTCCAAATATATATATATATATTTTTTGAATAACTGTATTTAACTGTGATTATATGAACTGCACAATCATGGCAAATGACGTGTTTGCTTGAACAACCTTTTGATTGGAAGTCTTGCATTGTGACTCATCGTTTGTAGGTGCCATTGTAACCATTGTAGCTCTTGGATGTGTTGTGTGGTATGGCAACATAGATGCGCCCGTGGCTGGGATAGTGTACCTCTATTCGTGGCATCAAAAAATCGACTAAGCTATGCCCAAGATGGTGACCAACTTGGAGCACGTGGAGCGTCCGATGACAACATGTGTTGTTGCACAGCCATGTGCGCAAGTTGGTCATCTTCTGCAGATTGGCAAGTTTCTACAGCAGAAACCACAACATGCCACCGTTTCCACCAATGGGAGATAATGACTTCGGTATATTCTATGAGTCCTGTTCTCCAACTCTACCCCTGTAAAAACAAAACCAGCGCAATCAACCAAGACTTCCAAATCGCGCACTTGTATTGCTCGATGGCCAGAACGGACTCGCATTGGAGTTCCTTCCCCCTGAACTGCATCTGAAAGAAATCGTGGAGGCTGCCTTAGCCCAGGACAGGTTTGGTTTCAACTCTTAAGTTGAAGCAAGTGCAGTCACTTTGCGATTTGAGAGGAGGATACCTAATAGCGGCATAGCGCGTGCAAAATCATGTCGGAGCTATGTGACATGTTGAAGCCTGTTTTCAATGCGGATTTCGACTGATCTGAACATGGCGAAGATATTTATATAAATCACTAATTCGTTCAATACTCACGAGCTAACCAGGGCCCTTCTATTGCGGCTTTCACTGCAGGACCCATGCGCCTTGCAATTTGCACCAGAGGCAGAGTTGAAATATAAAGGCAACGCAGGACTACCTGCCTTTACGCGGCTTCATGACTTTCGGTAAGGGGTGCCTAAACTTTATACGTGAGGTGTGGGCGCTGGAAGAAGGCTGGAAGTGTTTGCTTGTTTTGGCGCCTACTTCGGATTTTTCTGTTGACCTGAGCACGTTCAACTCCAGATTTTTCTGACACTTCCATGGGACTTCAAAGTCAACCAGCTCACCATTCGGACTCCAGGTTTCAGCCAGGATCCGACCCCGACCATACTCTCATCATGTATCATGATAGTTTATCGTGTTGTCATAGGAATAGTTTATTACGCGGTGTTGAGTCTTCCCGCATCCCTTGAGGATTCTCCCGTGGGTGACCGAACGCCCCCAGAAGGCCATGAGAGATGATCCTCATCTTCTGCAGTCATTGCTGCGCCGCGAGGGTCGGGCTTTGCGCTTCGCTTCGAAGCGACTGCGCGGCGACAGGTGCGGCTCAAGACTTTTTTGCTTCGGTGGATTCGGTGGGTCCTCAAAGCGTTTGTTTTGGCTTCAAATCTGTTGGTTCTCTTCTGTGGCTGCCGAAGAACAGGAGAGGAAGATCTTGATCCACGTCCAACCTGCTGGTTCCCCAACTGCAGATTGATAGGGGAATCATTTTGCGCATCATCAAATGAAACCAATCTTTTCAGCAGGCACTTGGTCCTATTGGCCATTGCCTCTTGCCCTCGGGCTGTGCTTTGCGCCAGCGAAGATTCTTGGCAAGGGAGACTAAACGAAGGGAATTTGTTTCTTGTGTTCTCACAGGCCCTGAAGTGAAGATCATCGACTGATCTCTTCAATACAAGTAGGCTGCTTGTTGACTCGCCAGGGAGTACCAATCAACTGGGCTTATTGTGAACCATTTTCCATAGAGAGCAGAGCCTAGATGATTAGCGCTGCACATTATGTCAGTCACTTATCACTTTACTGCAGCCCTTTTGAGTATCAAGAAAAGGTGCGTATGGTAGCGGAGCTGAGAAGGAGGTAACCCCTCTGGAGCTCTGATTGAAAAGCCCCTAAGTCACTGGGATCCCGGGTGCGAGTTCGAGCCATAGATTTGGGGTCTTTGCAACCCAAGCAGCTGGACTGGTGAAGAATTGCTGTTAGCAACACTCTGTACCCAGTACATTGTGTCAAAGAGACATTAGCACAAGGAGAAGATGGAGGACATCAGAGAAATCCTTCAAACTCTCGCACAGAGTTCGCCAGCAACAACATCAGCAGCTGAGGCAGTGAAGAAGGCTGTTGAAGACAAGAAGTCATCAGCAACAGCTTGGTCAAATTTGATAGCAAAGCCCAATATCTTTGACTATAAATCTACAAGTCACAAGAAGAAGAGATCGAGGCAATCAGAGAGTGGTCATGGGTCTTTGAGAAGTGTTTGAGCGCAGTTGATGACGGCTATATGAAGGGTTCATGAGAAGCCAAGTGACAAGTTTGACATGGAGTTGGCAGATGATGCAGAGAAGACCAGGTGCATCAAGCTCTATGGATTGTTACCTTCAATGATGAGAGGAAGGGCACTGCCATTGGTGAAAGCTGCGGAGGACTCCAATGGATTTGATGCCTGGAGTAGTTTGAATCAAGCTTTGAAGCCAACCTCAAAGGCAAGAGGCTTAGCACTCTTGGGAGCAGCCACGGCCAATCAAGATCAGATTGGGCCTGTCAAACTTCAGCTACTACCAGAAGACAACTCAATCCAGATGGAAGACAAGTCAGAAGTCTTGCATGAACAAGAGAAGACTAGCCTTTGCAGAAGCATTGTTGGATCAGGTATCTACCTATGTCAAGAGAGGTTTGCCTAGTGCTTGAATTTCCACATGCAGGAGAAGGCTACGTCAAGAAAGGAGAAAGCTATTGTTGCTTGGAGACGTTTTCAGATTCAGACTAGGGTGGAAACAAAAGCGACAGAAAGTCAGCATCAGGAGGGTTCCATGCGTCGAATAGTTGTCCATTGTTCAACAGCAGCAGAACACCGAAGATCATTAGCTTATCTTCATGTGAAGCAGAACTACACGCAATAGATTCCTCAGCGTCAGATGGGATCTATATCAGAGCAGTTCTGGAATTTGCTCTTGGGACAAAGGTGGACCATTACATCTTCACAGGCTCATCAACGGCGCGCCAACTTGTGACAAAGAGAGGAGTTGGAAAAGTGAAGCATTTAGATGGAAAGTTGCTACGGATTCAGACTAGGAAAGATTTCAAGACGGTACAAGCACCAACAGATAACAACATGGCAGACCTCAACACAAAGCCACTGGGATAACAGAATCAGATACTTGATGAACCTAATTGGTTACTGGCACAGTGAAGACCAAGTGAGAGAGGGAGGAAAGGTCAACAAGATTGCAAAGATGCTTGTGAGAACGGTAGCATTGGAGGGCTTGCAGCCATGGTTGCAGAAGCATTCTCCAAAGAAGGAGACAACATCCAGTGTGGATTGGAAGGCATGAGATTGGAGGAGATGAAGGAATCCAATATGGAAACTGTAATTTTTGGATAGTAGTGATCATTGCAATGTTTTCTTTGCGGTAGTGATCTTCGTGGTCTACAGGATCTTCACACATCTTGAACTGAAACTCCAAAAGGAATACCAATGAGCTATGGGGTCATACAGAAAGACGCTACAATGACAATTGGCGGTACACTGATTGGAGATCAAATGACCTAGAATTGGTGTCAGAGATTGTGAGACTGATGCAGATGATATAGAACAATTCACAGTGGACCGATCCTGAATGGAGGTTTTGTAGAGGGAGAAACACAAAAATCGACTGGCTATTCTTAGCTATGACATTTTGAATGAGATCAACACAGGAAACTTCTTAGGAAGAAGGAGTTTGGAAGCTACGCAAGCTACAGAAGGATGGTATGAAGTATGAAGGACAGAGTGATGTTAGAAGCAGCAAATGAAGGGGCAAATCCATCAGGAGGACCGTTGAATAGATTATTGTCAGGGGAAATTGCGAGAGGGATCAATGAGATCAGAACACATGAGAGTGACGTCAATACAGATGTGTGGTAGACTCAGTGCTAGAGTGGAAGAGTTGGTGAGCACACAACATTGGAACCTACTAGGAGCAGGAAACAAAAATGCTGCAGATAGGGTTGCGGAAGAACTGAAGAAGCGCAAGGAACTACTTGAAATAGCAGAATACAGGAGAGACTATCCAGATACCAACCCAGTCTAGGAACCCAGTTCCTGAGAGAACAGGCAACTCGGAGAGAGAGACATAAGTGAAATGACAGAAAATGGAAGCATGTTCAATAGTGCACTCAAGCTCAACTCTTGAAGCTTGAAGAAGTATTTGACGAGACTGTCAAGGCAGGGACAACAATTCAGGAAGAGTTGAAGTCTGTTATTCCATTGAGGTGTGTGGGTGGCCAACTCAAATCCTACTCGAATTTGACAATTGGTGACAATGTTCAATACCCAACTTTGAGGGAACATGTGTTGCAATGGGACAGATTCCAGCAGAAGTGGGCTACAGCTGATCCCAATGGACGTAGGCAAAGTCTTGGTGAATGGATAGAGTTGACTAAGGATTCATCTTTGGCAACTCTGAGGGCAGCATTTTCATTTCTCGGCATTTCAGGCAGCGGCTCTAAGCTAAAGGTCTACACCAAGATCTTCAATCGCAACAAGAAGATGGTGCTGTTGAACGCCAAAAGCCTGGTGAGTGGAGCAAAAGCTCAAGAAACAAGAAAGAGTGTGGCAAAGATGCCAGATGAAGCAACTCAAGCAAGGCATAGATTGACACACATGCCATATGCCAATTGGTGCAAGGAGCGTATAGAACATGGAGCGCCCGGAGTAAAGAGAGGAAGCACCCCTGAGATATGCTATGACTTTGCTACACGAGCACAAGGGACGCAGAAGCAAAGTCAGCAAGAGCAGTATGTTGGCTAGTTGCAATTGACAGCCAGACTGGATTCATTCATGCTGCGCGGCTAGGAAGCAAATGCCAATTTCGCCTAATTGTACAGCAGTTGATAAATTTCAGTCAGTTGTTGCGGCGTCCAGCAACCACCTACAGGAGTGACAATGAACCCAAGATGCTGATCAATGCTCGACACAATCTAGGACCCGCTACCAGATTGGTAAGCATTCATTTCTATCAGAGAACACAGTTGACAGGGTGACAAAGCTTGCAGGAACATTCATTGAAGGTGCGCAGTCAAGACTTGGTATCAAGGTTGGATCAGATCATGCACTTTGGACTTGGGTAGCAAGACATGCCAGCCGGGTACCCAACAGGCCTCAGCAAGTCAAAGGAGCAACTCCCTATGAGCTTGTCTATGGCAAGAGTTCAAAAGCCTCAACAAAGGAGAAGGTGGCGTTTGTTACCTATGTACTCACAGATGGAGTGCAAGTAGTGCCTGGCAAGTCCCATATACAAAGGCTTCAATGCATCTTCATGGGAGTACCAAACCAACTTTGGAGGCAGAATCATTCCCACCAAGAGAAGAGCAGAAGCATTACCAGTAGCACTGACAGGCATCTCGAGAACGTGTAACGGTGAAGTTGCGAGATGAGGATGGAGAAGCAGTTATGGCTAAGGCACTCGAAGGAGGAAGTGACTCAGAACCCAGACCCAGAGGAGATTCCAGCCCTGCTGGAAATTCCTGTTGAAGCAATGAAAAGAGAAGGGAGTGAAAGAAAGCCAGGTGGAGAAGAAATGCCAAACAAGAAGCAGAAAGTTCTCTTTTCAGATGAAAGGACACTTGAAGAAGCGAAGGCATTTCCCTCTACATCATCGCCAGCAGGACAGCCAAATCCAATTACTCCTATCTTATTTTCGTTGAGGTCAGCGCCATCCAGACCCAGAGAAGCGTTTGAATTGCTTGAGGAGGAAAGTCCAATGAATAAATTCATGCCATCAGATGATTCAAGCAAGAAGGCCAAGATCAACACGGTGAAAGTTGGAGGATAATATTTTTATGATGTAGTTGAAGACTGATCCGTTGCCCCAGTTGCAGAATAAGTTGGTGAAGAAGAGGGGGAAGATGAAGAAGATGATGGTTCAGACTTGGAAGCAGTGGGCCTGCTTGTGGCGCAATGGAGAAGATGAACCTGAAGGAGATCCAGAAGAATGGGTCGACAGAGTAGCTGATGAAGCGGAAGAGAAAAGACTCCAGAAGATGCAGGCGCTCAGGCGCTAAAGGTAGCACAAAAGGAACCCTGACAACACGCAATCCGTAATGTGTACGACTGGAGGAAGAAACCATAGCAACTTGAGACGGCATTTCAGTCAAGAGGTGGAAGAGAAGATCAAGACTAGTTGCAAGAGAGTTTGATTGCGCTGAAGGACAGGGAGATGACATTTTCTTACCAGTGACTTCAGGGCGTGTACTAAAGCTTCTACCTACATTATTCTTGCAGAGAATTAGTGAAGAAGATGAGGCAAGAGAGGGAGAAGGAGCATTCTCACAGGTGCTAGGATGTCTTGATGTGAAAGACACGTTTCTACAAGTTCCACAAGAAAAGCCATTAGAAGTGATCGTGAGAGGAGAAGAATTCCTAGTGAAGAGGAATGTACCTGGACAGAGTTGGAGCAAAAGCATGGTTTGACTTTTTCACAGAGTACCTCACAGAGGAACTCAGCTACAAGTTCAATGCTGAGTGTCCATGCAACCAGGCAACTACATCCAGCAGATGTTGAAAGCCCAAAGAGGCATTTTAGGGTCTCACATCGCCGAGAAGGAGTGCGAGCCTAGATGATTAGCGCTGTACATTATGTCAGTCACTGTTCACTTTAGTGCGGGCTTTTTGAGTATCAAGAAAAGGTGCCTATTTATTCATATTCACATGCGTTTGGCAGGGCGGCAAGGCATTGCACAAAACAATCCAAGTTTCACCACATTTATGGGAAAACAATCCCCAAAGGGCCTCAACATGTTTTCATCATACGATCACTTGCGCGACTGAAGAGTTGTTACTCACAGGAAGCATTCTCAAACGTGTGGCCCAAGTCAAGGCAGAGTGTCACATGCCACCAGGAGTGGCACTACTGTAGACGGTCCTTCCTTATCAAGTTTTCTTTGATAGCCCAACAGACAGCAAGCAAGCATTGGGATGTCGGTCCGCGAATTGTTTCCCCAAGGCAACATTTGTAGCACAGTTATTGCTATAGTGGGATTAATTCTATGATATGTTTAGATTTGGATGAAAGTGTGGTTTAAGCAATTATGATCCTTTTTGCCGGTAAGACATCAGGGGGCCAAGGCTCCGTATAAAATTGTTTATCTATGCTGAATTAGTGGTTGCACCTCCTACTTTAGAGATCTTTAAAGAGAATTTCAGGGTTTGGATAAAACTTATGTAATCTTAGAGGGGGGTCACGGCAGCATATCTCTATGTTTTTGAGCATGAAACGTGGGAGGATATGTTCATATTGTTTTCACTGTGTTTGTTTTGTGACGGATCAAGTTTGGGTCACAAAAGAAAAATAACCACCTATATCTAGCAGTTTGTCAGTGTGTTGTTTTTTTGTTTGTGTTTGGTTGTGTTTTCCTTCATGGAGAACACTGAATAGAAGGGTGCATGTCATACAACTTGATGAACATCACTGATCACCAGAACGCGTGCCACCGAACCAATATTCATGTGGTAGAATGGACAGCACCAGTAGCGCAGCGCATCCCTAAGAGTCTAAAGGGGGTCAATCTTCCCATTTTATATCATTTTGTATCCTCAAAATCACAAGCAAGGCCGATCCTCTATCGGCATTCATTATTTGAGCAAATAGAAATTAGTTCAAAGAGCTGATTGGAGATTATCCAGGAATCTAAGTTCCATGGAGCCTGTTTGAAGTGGCCCCGCCCAGGAAGTTCTGAGAGACAAAGAGGCGAGGGGGCTCTAAAATGACTTCACAGATGTCGCGAGAGAGTTCTTGAAGTGCATAGCCATGTCCAGACTGTGTCCATGATTACACAACAATTGTGAACTATATACAATTAAGGCCATGGTTATGGTGGCGATACGGAGGCATGGGTCTTTTGGTTGTAGTTGTCGTAGTGGCGACGGTGGTGCAGCTGTGTGGTTCTACAACCAAAGGATGGGAGATAGAAAGAAGAAGGCAGCAAGCAGCTTTATTTACACGTCATTGTCAATAGGCAGAAAGTTTTTTTGGCAAATCCAAACCAAGTCCAGACGGAAGCAGTCTTTTGTAGGTCAGCTCCAGAGATGTCTTCGGGTGCTGCAGTCCATTTTTGACATGAGGAAACACGACAGCTTGATGTTCTGCTGGTTTATGGAGGCTTGTACACCTGCTCTAGTTTAGTTCCCAAACCTTTGGGCAATATGGCATTGTTGTTTTTTGATTCTATACATGTTACATGTTTTTGCCTCGACTGATGATTGCAAATACCTCGAACAAACCCCAGCTGAGGAGGAATTGTTTGCATTCCAATCAGTCAACCCTTTTTGTGTGCAAAAGCTGTGAGGGGTGCCGCAGTGTCCACCATGAGAGTTTCGTTTGCAACCTGAAAGTGCAGAAATTGTGGGTGTGTTAGATGGGCATCGAGGCCCAAACTTACCAGACAAGAAGCTGAGGAAATTGCCGCCGCAAGCGGCCTTACTGACAAGTAGGGCAGTTGCCGTCAACTTGTAGAAGGTCCACAAGATGTCCATGACACCAAGGTGTCCACTAAGGCTTCATTCACCAAGGTGCAAGATTGCCCTCACAAATCTTTTGTCAAAGCTGTAGACAGAGTCCCTACATGTTCTGGTTGAAGGTTGAACTGGTTGGCAATTGCACTCTCAAGCATCCTGTCGTGGCTGGTGGCGCTGGATGGACTGCTAGACACGAAGATTGAACGCCAGCATGACAGTTCTAAAACTCCATAGCATCTCGATTTACCTGCCCTCGGTCTTCTGCTGACCGCGCAAAAGGGGATGTGGGCGCAGATGGTGAAGTTGTTTTTTGGATTCTGGTAGAAAATAAATTCTTGCAGGTGTTGTTAGCTGCTATGGAGCGTGATCCGCAGCTGGCCTCGCAGCTGGCACACTATGCCGCCAGGACTTGGAATGCTTGTCCAAGACTTTGTCCGCCGTCTTTCACTCCTTTGCACTTTCTCCAAGACCAAAAATATTTGAGAAGTTTGAGAGCACTTTGGTTGAGGTTCTGTAGTCGCAATTAAGCAAACTCTGAAAGAATTTGGATGGCCCCAAGCTGTGAGATCTCAAGAAACGGAAACAGTGTGAAACATGGACCAGCTTGTGATGGCGTGTGTCGGGTCATGATGATCATGTATGTATACAATATCAATGCAAGGTCACTTGCGTGATTTTGAGGATACGCGGCATTGGGTACACAAAAGAGTACTGGATTGATACATTCTATATATCTTTACAAACAATCACAGAAGTTGGTATATTATAGTCAGTTTTCTTCCACGCGTTGCCAATTGTATCTTTGCTTTGCGCGTTTATATATTGTGTAAGTCCGCGTCGTGCTTTCATTGGTCAAAGAAGATCCAGGTTGATTAATCTGAGTTTTTCCATCATGTCTTGGCCCCCCGTGAGATTTGCGCATTGTACAGCGTAGGCCTTGTCAGTCTTGCCTGAAACGAAGGACGGAACTAGCTGAAGTGGAAATGACTTCATAGTGAGGACATGCAGTTGCTCTCTGGTCACCTACTGTAGTAGTCTACATGTTGACACGGTGCCATCCCAAATATTGTTCGATCACGTTCTAGCAAAGTACACAACAAAGTGCTAAATTCTGATACCTACTGCCCTCAGCTAGAGCATGACTAGCCAGCTCGAGGATACCGTGATCGAGTTCTGCACGAAAACAGTTCCGGGATGTCAGGGATATTCCATTGCGTGCGAATGAGTCACTTGTCAAAGTGATGTCAACGTGCAATAGTTGTTGAAACTGTTCAATAAGTGAAAAGGCTTCCAGCAAAGGATCCTCAAGTCCATCGCCTTGTCTCTACTCATATTATGTTACAACTTGTGATACCTTGTAAAAAAAAAAAATTATCTCAAGACAGATCCCACATTTGCCCAGTAGGGATGCTGGACGGTTCCTTTCCTCACCCATCAAAGAACAATTCAATAGTTGTTCTTGTTCAATCCATTTCAATCCTATTCATTTTCTCTAGTTTCTGGTTCCTGTTCCGGTCCCTACAGACCATCAGATGCAAAAGCAGATGATCTTGCAAAGTAGTTTGAAAACGGCTAACAGATTGCGCTCTGCACTGCCACGTGGGCTCGAGTATTACTTCAAGAAAGGACGTGGGAGGTCCGGTGGGCAGAAGCCTCACGCCCCACTCACCTTCTACGCAGGGCTGTGAAGCCTGCTTCTCATCCGAACTGGTGACTTTTGTTTGATTCGCCATCGAAAGCGCTTGGGTTGTTTTAGATGGGTCGCAGACTGTCTCAGAGCATCAGACCATGCGGAAATATGACAGAGTCTTGCTTGTTGTTTTCTTGGGAGTTGTGGCGTCCAGCTTGCTTCCGCAATTGCATCCAAGGCAATGAAAGAAGCTTTGCAAACGATGCGTATCGAAATGCCAAAAAAGAAGGTGTGGCACCGAAGTCTAAGGTTTGAAGATTGGAGGCGGTTTGAGGCTGTAAAACCGTCATGACATGGTTCGCTAGCTGCATACCTATGTATATAATATATAATATATCATATGATATATATTATGTGTATATATATACAATTATGTGTATGTATATATATATATCATGTTGCGAAATGGTTTGTTTGTGGCCTTGCAACCTACCGATAGCCCGTTCAACTGTTTGTTAAGTTTCTGTTCGAACCATCCAACACCTTGCTTGGCCTTCCATGAAGTGGATTAAGAGAGGTCAGAATCCATGTTGTGGGGCACGGCATGTGTGTTTGTGTGTGTGTGTGCATGACCTTTGCTGGAGCAAAACCTTGCCTGTTGATAATTTCCACAGGCTTCCAATTAAAAGATGCTTTGAAGTTCTCGTCTACGTGCGCATCATTTGCTACTGTTCTGATTTGCATACATGTCACAAGTTGGTGGGAATACAGCCTCTTTTGTTCAACATGGCTTAATTTTGTATATACAATAATATATTGTGCTGGTCAAATATGTAGAAGAAGCCGACTGGCTGGCAGCAGGCGCAGAAAGGCTTTGCAATCGACACCTTCTTGCAGAAGCTGGGTGGGAAGATTGAAATGTCCAAAACGTTTGTAGAAGAAGCACAATTCATAATACATATTGATACATGTGTATCAGGTCTTTTACATACTTTCGAGTCCTGGCCTCTGAGCCCAGGGGACTTGGGGATGTTGAGTGAGGATCAGTCGCGGACAAACATCGCAATATGCCGATCACGCAGTTGTTTTGCTCGGGCACAGATGGACGACCCAGGATGTTGTGTATCTTGCGACATGTTGAAAAGTCAAGGATTGGTCAGGTGATAAGATGTGGCATTCTGTGTCATTTAGTCAATCTCTGTGTTTTTCCACCAAGGAAGGGCCCACTTTGGTCACTGGCTGTCTTCAGTGGTTCTGTGCTGCTCCTCGGAATACTGCTGCGCAGCTTGCCTAAGTTTATAAGTTTATGGCAGCAGCTTTTAGATGAGCCCCAACGTCTTGGTTTCCAATCAGCAGTGTGCTCGAAAGATCTCGAAAGGAAGTCTGTTTGGAGAGCCACGAGTGGCTTTTTGAGCTGAAAGAAGAGTTGGAAGAAAGCTTGCAAAGCTGCTCTTGGCAGCAGCCTTTGAAACTAGAGTTGCAGATGACCGGGGCTGAACATGTCAACTTGAATGCTTTCCTAAGAGAGCACCAAAGAAACCGTAGATGGTTGTAGATGATCGTGGTCTTTTGTCCGGTGCTGGCAGGCCCCACCTCGCCCCATCGGGCTCTCGGTACTCGTACGGTCCCGTTTATCCTTCAGCGTTTCTCGAGTCTTGTGTCGACTTTTGCCAAGCTTTTTTTGTTTTTTTGATCCTTCCATTATGCATTTCTCATTTCCATGTTCAGCTTTATGTTCATGGCTGCATTTATCAAGACAAAGATCCAGTCACAAATATGCCTTAAGCAAACCTTAGTCCAAAATCAAAGTCTATACATGTGATTGATTTGAGTGTTGAGACCTGCGTCCTCAGGTCTCATAGATGGCATTCTCTTCTCACAAGAAGAGCCTCGGCCATAGATAAGCAGTTTGGTGACTGTTCATGCAATCATACTAACTATAACTGCAACCGAATGCAATGTGGAATACCCAAAGCCGCAAAGCCTATGTTGAGTGCACTCTAAAGGCCTGCAGTGCTGATTTGTCCACAAAAACGAGCTTTTGTTCCACAAGATTCAACGGCGGTCAAGAACGTTGACGGTTATATAAGCCATGTCCATGCCTATGTTGTCCAAACACCAACATAGGGTATAGCAGAGCCAGTCAACATTGACACGCTTGGGAAATGCGTACGGTATTGATTTGCGGTTTGCCACCCGCCAGCCTAAGTAAAAAACCTAAGAGTCCAGGGGAGAGTAGGTTAGAGGGCACCGCTAGTAGGATGGAGGAGACTTGCTACAAGACTCAAAACAGCAAGACACAAAAATCAAAACGCAAGCTACATGTAGTTTCATTTAGTTACAGAGCAAGCCGGTGCAAAGGACGAAGTCTTGTTGTAGTTACAAGCGGAGAACTTAGTTCAAATGCAGGTACTTTTTTCACCACCGTACCACCAGGCTCTTTGTTGGCCACTCCCTGGTGGTGGGTGGGGTGGCCCCTCAAAATGAAAGGCCAAGAGGCCCCCTTTGATTCCAAGGGTTACACACACTTATGGATATGCGTACGGACTTGACAGCGGTGCCACACGCCGGCCTAGGGTACCAATTCCTAAGGGTACAAGTAGGAAACCACTGGAGCCTCGGGGTCCTCAAACGGAGAAGGGGCCAAACTCGTAAGACGAAACCGATCCGACAGGTTGACGGCGTGACGTGCAAGTCTGCGGAATGCAAAACTCAACTCAGCAAAATTAAAATTCAAGCAGGTACAGGTGGATGATCAGTCCACTCCTCCCTCGTCACACCGTAGCTTCGTTGCGTACGGTGGGTATGACGAGCCGCACGCCCCTGCTGAAAAAGAAAAGAAAAGAACAATTCAACTGAATCCCTGTGATTATACAAGGGGCACACACACACACGCCTCCCCAAAGGGAGGCATATTTTTGCTAAGCGCCAAGCCGGAAGGTGGGTGAGACTAGTTAAATTGTCGAAGTTCTCGATAGGTCTGATAGGCCGTCAGAGGGAGTCGTAGTTGGCAAACGGCATCATCGTGTAGGCGAGAGGCGACGGTATGTAGAGGTCGGTAGGGGAAAGGGGTAGAATCTCGTGGATACTCATTGGCAACACCAAGAGGACGAATCCTTCGGGAGTTGACATAGTAGAGAACGAGGCCCTCAAGTGTGCAGGTGTGTGGGACTTCCCATACACGAGAGTCGCCGGTAGAAGGTAGGGCCATCCAAAATGCTGTGCGCTGCTGTCCCAAACAGGAGTAGATCACATCTTTGAGATCGTCGACCGTGTACTCCTTGGTTTCAAGTTGGAGGGTGTCGAGGGTCATGGTGATGTAATTGAGCGGTTGGTAAACGAGTAAGCTGATGTCCAATTCGAACCGGATGGTGGAGAGATTGGGAACTTGATCAAGGGTTTCAAAAGGTTGACGCACATCTCTCCACGCAGTGGGTATCAACTGGGTCAAGGGTTCGGGAACACGAAGTCCGGGTGAGGAGATCATCGTGGAGACGAGGGATCACCAAAGTCAAAGTCAAAGGGAGCCACTGGCTGCGGAGAGGTATGGGTAGAGAAATGGGTGGAATGTGATGAGGAGAGCAACAAGTGGAACTGTGACAAGAATAAAAGGCAGAGCGGGGTTGTTTTCAAGCTTAGACTCTATTGTACAGGGGAAGCACGTACGGCCTCAACCCGAGGAAAGTCACCTAGCACTCATGGCGGTCAGTCATGTGTCCCGGTAGTGGGCGGAAATGGAGGTGCCAACGTGTTCTGTGGTGATGTAGAAGAAGATGTCAGTGACATAGATCCCGAATCCGGAACGGGGACTTCCGCACCAGTAGCGGCGGGGGTGAACGGCAATTCTTGGTCGGTGGGAGCGGGTTGAGTCTCAGTAGAAAGCGGTGGTGAGGAAATGTCCGGATTGACAGGAGGAACCTGTTGATCGAGCGCATGGCCAAGTTCGTCCTGATAGGACGTCAAGGTGTACATAAGGCCTTCAATGACCTGTTGTTGTTGAGAAGCAGGGAGAATTTCGCAAACCTGGTGAGTTGGAAACGTCGAGCTGAGAGAAGTGCTGAAGAAGATTGTCAAGCATGTATTCCACCCGAGTATGTTCAAGATTGTCAACAGCTTGGCGTTTTCGACACTGGGGATGAGCGGCAGGAGTGGGAGTCTGTGCTGCGAGGCGTTGCTCTTCAGCGAGACTGGCTCGTTCATAGTTCTCACAAGCCTCCCAAATGGGGAGACTCTGATTTGCGCCCACGACCAGCTGCCAACCTCGGGTACCCCACACTTGATAGCGTTGATCGGCCCAGTTGGAATAGGGGTGCGTGTCGAGAAAGTAGCCAGGGGTGGACCGAAAGTAATGTACATCATCGTGGTCCCAACGAATGGTCTTGTGATGGAACCATGCTTGATAAAACCAGTAGCGAGAAGTGCCGTAGTTCCGACAAGCCCATTCTTCATGCGGGGCGGCGACGTGTGGATTTGATTGGCATACTCGGTGTAGTCCGCGTTGTACTGGTTGTCAACCCGAGGAAGGCCCGGAAGAAG